ATAGATAAATAAATAAATAAAATACTAAAATAATATTACTAACTATTTTAAAAAATATATTTTATTTTTTAATAATTAATTTTATTTTTTAATAATTAATTTTATTTTTTAATATAAATGAAATTAATATATTAATATTATACTATTATTTAATATGTATAAATGATAAAATTTATAATTATATTATTTATTTGTTTCTAATTATTTAAAGTCTAATTTTTTTTTATTATTTATTAAACAAATTAATATAATAAAAAAATATATATAAATAAATAATACTTTACAAAAAAATTTAAAAAATTAGTAATGGATTAAAATAATGGTTTGTAAAATGAAAGCTTAATTGAATAGTTTTAAATTTTTTAAATATAGTAAATAATTTGTTAAAATAATTTATTTAAGTTATTTTAAGATGACTTAATTTAAATATCTTAATTAAAACATTAAATGAAAACGTAACATTAAAACAATAAAACTAAACTATAAGAAATACTAACTGAGTAATTAAAAAATAAATATATTAATCTTATTACATTATTTATAGTATAAATAATATAAATTAAGAAGTTAAATAAATTAATGACTTTGATGTCAACTATAAGTCTTAAAATAATGATTTTTAATGTTAATATTAAGATCATAATATTGAAATTAAATTAATTATTTAATAATAAGAAAAGTTTGAAAAAATATTATAAATAGTTTTTAATAAATTTAATATTTTATGAAATGATTCAATATAATTTTAATATTTTTTATTAAATTAGTTATATATCTATTTTAAATAATGTTTTAATTTTTTAGATAGTTTACAATAATATTATTTATTTTGTTTAATTATCATCCATTTTAATTAATTAATTATGCAACTTTTCTTTATATTGATACTAAAAAAACTTCTTTGTTTTTACTTTATATTATCATTTAATCTTTTTTATTTATAATTTAATTAGTCTTTTTTAAATTTAAATCCTATAATAGATTTTTGATATATTTTCCTTTAAAATATCACTTATAAGGCCATCGAATAACAAAATACAAAACAAAAAGTTATATGACTACTATAGTAAACATAAACTCTATTTTAATTTTGGCATCGATATCCGAATTTGCACAAAGTAACAATAACCCAATATAAGTATTTTATATATTGATTAGTCCAATCAGAATATAAGGGATTATATTAAAGTTTCACCCAACCAAGTAAACTATTAATTCTTTTATATTTAATAAAAAGCTATTAAATGCCAAAAACAACCTCAATTATGAGCAAAAAAACAATAGCTACTAGTTTTAATAGATAACAAATTCAATATAAACTTTATTTTAAATTATATTTTTTTTTACTTAATTTAAAATATTGATTATATCAAAAAATCATAAAAATAGCAATCGAATAAAATATATGTATATATATGCTATTAATGTATATTTTTTTTTATAATTAAAAAATTTAATTATTTTTATTATAAAAAATATTTATTAAATAATTATGCATTTTTTCTGATCTCTTTTTAATAAAAATACTTTACTCTAAATAACTGAGCTAAAATTAAGAGTTTATTTCTAATATAAAAGCAATTAGTTACATTTGTGATAAATCATTTAATTATATTTCAAAGCATATAACTGTTGTTAGAACATAAAAAAAAAAAAAATTCCAGGAAAATATTCTCATAAATATCGATATAATAAATGAAAAATTGAATTCATTTCAAACAAAAAATATTGAATGTTTTTTTGATAAAAATTAATTTATAAAATAATAAATCGCATTTAGATATTAAAATAAATATTGTAGTATCTAATTATATAATTTACATATTTTTTAAAAAAAATTATAATTAAATATTTAAAGAGTATCTAAATATAAGAAGGTTATTATTAAAATAAATTACTTAAAAAAAAAATACTAATGTTAATTATATTACCTCATTATTAAAATAGATATTGGAAAAAATATAATCATAAATACATAAATACAAAATTTATCATTTATTATATTTATTTGCTTTTTAGTTTAATAACTTTTATTTAAATTGATTAAATTTACATTTTTTAGTTTATAATTTTAGATTAGCTTTTTTATTTAATTTTTTTTTTCTTTAAAATTTAGAGCATGTGCTGTTTTATATGTTTTTTATTAGGTTTTAATTTAAGTATCAATCATTTTTAATTAGTTAATTGTTCTTATTCTTGAAATATTTAAATGGAATTCTTTTTAAAAATGTATCAGACATTTTATAAAGTAAACAATTGTATAATAATATTAATTTGTTATTTATTAATAAAAAAGAAGGAAATAAATTTTTTAATTAATTAAAAATAATATTTTTTTTTATTTTATTTTATTTTATTTATTTATTTATTTGTTTCTTATTCATATTGTCTTAATTAACCATTATTCTAATTATTCAGTATATTAAAGTAATTCTTGGTTTTAGCTACATTCTAATTTTAGAAATTAGCAAAATGATTTAATTCCTTAAGTATCATAAATAAACTATTACTCTTTAAATATTCTGTTCATTTTGCTTATAAAATCAGCATATAAACAATCACTATATACTTTACATTCCTTAATAATATCTAATTAAAAATTAATAAAATTAAAATAAAGTTATGAGATTAAAATATATAAATATTACTATTTTCAACTTAAAAGTAAAAATCTATAATACCCCAATCAAATCTAGTTTCTATGTTATTTGTAAATTTAGGTGTTTGACCATACAACTTATATAATTTAAATAAATTATAAATAAAAAAATATATATTTGTTCATATTTTTTTTCTGTATTTTTTTTTTAAACTAAATCAATAAAATAAAAATGCTAAACTAATTATTTTTAAAATAATTTTTATTTTATTACAAAATTTCTTATATAATTATTGTAAAACATCAAATAAAAAAAGATTTTTAAATTATAAAAAGTAAAAAGCCTTTTTCTTATTAATTGAGTTTTTTTAAAAAAACAATAAAATTCAAAAAAATATACGAATAAGTAATATTTAAAATTCTATAATCTTTTTATGATTGCATTAATTATAATAAAGTTGAACATGAGTTAATAATAATTAATTGTTCTTTGATTATTATAAAAGCAAACATATAAATTTTTTAGAATATTTGGTATATTTTTATTTATAAATTTTAAAATTTAAAATAATATTATGACAATAATAAATATATATATACCCAATCCCATGAACTTATTTCATTAAATATTTAATTAATATTTTGATTTTATTTAAGTGATTCATAATCTAGTTTTTCTGAAATGACTTGATGACTAGAATAAAATTTAGCAAATTCAATCTCCAATTATTAAACAAAAAAATCATGATTTAAATCAGGTTTTATTTCATTTAAATTAAGAATTCTTGATATTACACTATCAACTCCTTTACTTTTTAACTTTTCTTTATTTGGATTCAAATAATTTTTTACACTTTCCGTATTCACATTAAAAAGCATTGTACCATGATGTAAAGCTTTTCTATCGGATCCATCTTTCTTTCCTAAATTAACTTAATATGCAGATCCTGATATTTTTCTTCCTTAACAAACTATATCATTTCTTCCTGTAAATTAAGCATCTACACCTAAATTTTTTAATGAATTAACTATAATTATATTATTTTTATTTTTTGAATCTAATGGGTTGGAATTATCATATACTGGGGTTATAAAAGAAAAACAGCTATTTCCTATTTTTTTATATTATTTATGTATTTTAAATTTTAAAATATCTATTCGCCTAAATCTTAATATACAGCACTACCTCCTGTTCTTCTTCTAGCTAATTTTATTCCGTCTCTTTCCATATTCTAAATGAAACATTCTTTCCAAGGATTTTAATGTCTTCCTTAATTTTTTTTACAAATGTAAACAAAAAATAAATAAAATAATATATACCGATAACTATTGTTTTATCGTTTCTCCAAAGAAATAATGTAGGATATTTTAAATTATGATGTTCATAAAGATATTCTTCAGTAGCTAAATTAAAATGAATATCATTTACTTAACTATGTATAACACAAATCTTTTTTTCAATATCTAAAATAGAAAACTAATATTTTAAAACACCTATTAATTATTATCCTGTTTAATATCTTTTAATCAGTAAATTCATTATTATTAAAAAAAAAAAAAAAATTTATGTAATATTGATATTAATTTATTAAATATTTATAAATATTATAAATAGATATCGAAAAAGAAAGTAAATCATTAAAAAAAAAATTGTATTAAAAAGAAATTAAAAGTATTAAATATATGTGCACAAAAACTTCTTATAAAAATAATTATTTTAAATTTAGAAATATAATTATTTATATAATTTGAAAAAAAAAAATTAATATAAATTTATATAAAAATATTTTAATAAAATATATCATATTTTTAAATATAAAAATAAAAATATCAATTATTGTATTTTATTTATTTTTAAAATATATATATATTTACAAATATAAATACATAAATTAAATATATATATTTATTTATATATTTATATATTTATATATATATTATATTAAATTTTAATATATTTTTATTTAAGTAAATAAGTATGTTTAAAACAACGTATCCAATTTGGCTCAAAACTATCCTTAAAACTACACCTGCATTTGTAGTTTATTTTATTTTTGGTTTGGGATTTACCACATGTATTTATGATATTATTTACCATCCAAAAGATCGTATTGAAAGATATTTTTTTAGATCAAATAGATTTGAAAGAATTGGAAGAAGAAGAGATGATATATTAAGATAATATTATAAACCTTATATTGAATGGTAACCATATTTTGGAAGTTCAGCAGGTTCTGCCTAAAGACCTTTGGAAAGATATTGAATATTTTAAAAATAAATAATTACATGTTAATCAAATATGAAATTATTAAAATATTTGAATAAAATAAGATTTTTTTATTTTCATAAATCAGATTATAAATTATATAGTAATCAATTACTTTTGTTTATAATAATATTTTATTTTTATTAATTTATTATAGCATTATTATAATATTGAAAATAATTCTTTTAAAAAACTATTTTTTATTTTTTATTACATTTATTTAAGAAAAAAATATAATTTTTTAGTTTATATTTTACAATATTTGATTATATTAAAATAAATAATATATAAATATATTAAATATTATAAAATAGTTTTTTAAAAAAATATAAAAACATATAATAAAATATTTTATTTTATTATTCTAAAACACTGTGTTCCAAATATTATTTTTTAACTTTAAGGATAAAAAAAATTATATATATGTTTAGTATTTAAAAAATTTACATTACAAATATTTCTGAATGAAAATATAAAAATATTAATAATATTTATTATTATTAAATTAGTTTATCTTTAGTTTTTCTGTAATGTTTTTAGTTAAAATTAAATACAAGTAATAAATATTTAAAATGCCTATCCGTCAAAATCAAAATTAACAAACATTAAATAAAATTCTATTTTACATGTATAAACAAAAATTATATATTTTCTTAAAAAAGGAGATATTTTTTCAACATATAAACTTTTATTAAAGTAAAAAATAAGCAATTATAATTTATAATGAAAATTATATAATAACTGATAAAATAGAAATTAACATTATTTGTTGGCCAATCCGATATTTATTTTTGCTTCTTTATTTATTTAATTAAAAGAAATTACTATATTTTTTGATTTAGTTGAGAAAGAAAAAAGAATAATAGTGTAATATTAAATTAAATCATATTTTAAAAATTATTTATTAGGGCAAAGTAAGGCCTATAATATGCAACTAAGTATAATCACTTTTCTAACATTATTCTATAATATTTTAAAAGTAAAAAAAGACTACTAATTTACTCATTAATTATATTTTTTGTAGGGAATTTAAGACATAGATATATTTAAAATTAAAATATTATTCTATTAATCATAAATATTTTAATTATATAAAAAGCAGGTTAAATTTTTTTAATAAAAAATATAATAGTTAAATTAAAAATAAATAATATATTTTAAAAATCATTCACTATTATAATATATATAATTTTTATATAAATTATTTCATACTAATTCTTCATTTAATTTTTAATAACCATTTTTTTTTTTTTATTTATCTTCTATCTATTCATTTATATTGTCATTGATTTCATTGGTTTCATTGTTTTCATTAATTTTTTCACTTCCAATTTAAATTCCTTTTCCAGCAAATTATTTAAAATTATTACTTTCTTATTATTAAAAATTTGTGTTTTTAGCTTCATTTTATTAAGGAGGAGGCCCAATAATAACTTATTTTCCTTACTATTACTATTATTAAGATTAAATATTACCTCCAATTAATACAGAACTTCCAGTAAAAGCAGTTTAAGAATTAATTTATTATTAATTATTTAAATTATTATTATCTGGCTTAATAAAATCAACTCTATTTAAAAAATTTCTAAAAAATATTGATAATTAAATAGATTCAATTTTTTCTTTAGAAAGCTTCAAATACATTCCATTAAATAATTTCACTTCAAGAAATCCTTCCAAAATAGCGCACAGCATATCAATAGTTTAAAAGCCAGAAATAAGCGAAAAGAACAGAAATATAGCAAAAGGATAATATTTGTTTTTTATTTAAATTGGAAAACATAAAAAAAATGAACTGTTTTCTGGATCTGATAAAGATCTTAAAGTTATATATACCATGACTATATTCCAAAGACCTAAAGATGGCATTTGTAACCATTTTCCTCCAATTAATAAATCTAATGTAAAGCTTAATAATATAAATATTATTTATACAAATATGTTCTTTAACATAAAATCAAGAATAAAATATACTGATCCCATTTTTTATTCAAGAGATACACATGTAAAATGAATAGAATACAGACTAAATATAATCGTTATTATATCAAACGAAATAAACTAAGCAAATAATATTCTCCATATTTGAAATTTATAAATTACATAAAAAGGTATGTCTACTATTAGAAATGCAATATTTAAATAAAAAAAACTGATTATATATAATCCAATTGTTATTATAAATATTGACTTTTTATGTTTATTTAATTTTTATATATAAGATTAATTTTTATATAGTTTTACTTTTGTTCCAAATGGAAGAGCTACCCACCACTTTTAAATATCTTCTAAGCAACTACTAGCTTGACCTTACTATTAATTATTATTATTAAACATTTAAGGAAAATAATTAAAAATTATAAAAAATAAAAATATACGTAAAAGTATAAAATAAGAAATAATAATAAAAAATTTATATTTTATTTATATTAAATAATTATTAAAATAAAAATTTTCTGAAATTTAATTTTATAAAAATAATAATTTTAATATATTTTCTTTTTTTCTTTTAAAATAAATTTTTAATTAATAAAAATATAATAGCTTTAGTAATTACCAATTGGAATATTCAAAATATATAAAATAAAAATTTAATTATTAATTTATCGTTTATTTTATTCATTTTTTTAATATTATAAAATTATGATTTAAAACATTGAATATATATTTTAAAAATGTTTATATAATAGTGCATTAAATAAACATATATATATGATAAAATAAAATTTTAATAAAATTTTTTAATAAATTAAAAAATATTTATATAAATTAAAAGAAAAAATATGATTTTAATTTCTATTTTTAATTTCTTAACTCTCTTCTAATTCATAAGAGCATTTGATATATAAAAATTTTTAGAAATTTGTATAAAATAAGAATACTTAATGGAGCGTAATTTCAAATATGTTTGATACTGGTCCTTTGGTTGCCAAAAAAATAAAAAATATATTAAATCTGTTATAAATATAAAAAGGATGGGTTTTTTGATTATAAAACAGCAATTAGTCTATATGAAGAAGTCTAAAATAAATTCTAAAATTTAGCATGCCCTTTAGAAAGTATAGGCACTACAGAGGAAAAACGTACTATGTTTTCAACATGTTTAACTTGTAAAAAATAAAAATAGTTAAAATATTTAAATATAATTATATAATATAAGTATTAGATTAAAAAAAAGACTTAAATAACTAATAAGGAGTATTTATAAATAGTTTGCATCATGCTAGAGAAGTTATGTCGCTTTCAATGCAACTTTATACATATGCACACATACTTTATTAATACTTTTAAGGAGATTAAAAAACAATTGATTTTTTACAAAATAATGTTATTTGGTTTGTTCCAGCTGTTAATGTTGATGGATATGAATACTTAAAATAAAATTTTAAAGACTCTCGTAAAAAATACTATATCAGAAAAAATAGAAAAATCGAAAAGCAATGCCCAAATGACTATAATTAAGGAATAGATTTAAATAGAAACTACCCTACAGCATTTGGATTTGATGAAGAAGGAAGCAATTTTGATCCATGTGATGAAATTTATAGAGGATAATAACCTTTTTCAGCAAAAGAAACCTAAAATATATAAAAATTTCTTGATTTAAGAAAAAATATTAAAGTTGCGATAAATTTGCATTCTTTTGGAAATATGTGGATTATTCCATTTAACTATTAAAATGATAGAAATAATTAATTATTGAAATAAATGAATAAATAATTCTTAATTTATTAAGAATTTTTTAGTTAAGCTAGTTTTTCATATGATGCAAAAAAAGGAAATGCTCCATAAACAATTGGTTACATTGCCAATGGCGAAGCTAGTGATTGGATGTTAAAAGAAAAAAGTATATTTAATAAAAAAAAAAATTATAAAATATTTTAATAAAATATAAAGAAATTATAGCTTTAAGTCCTGAAATTGGATTTGAATAAGATAATTTTTTTCCTTCTAAAAATAATATTATTTAAGCCCTGTAAATTAATTTATCTCCTATAATGTATATGATACATAAGATGAACCATAATCCAAGGTTTTTTATTACAATAAATAACAAAATATATTTATAAATAAAAGTATATAACAATTAGGATTATTAGATAAATTAAAAACAAATAAAGTTTTTTAAAAAAACGATTTCTAAATTAAGTAAAAAAAAGATTAGCCATTAGATTAAAAATTGAATATGATATATATTGAAATTTTTAATTAAGGAATTGCAGATATCATAAAAGATGATACCTTTTTTTTTTTTAAATTACAACCTTAAAATATAAAGACAAATTATGATTTTACTATTAGTTAAGTTTACAGTATTTAATATGAAGATATTTATAGGATATAATAATTATAGGAAATGGATTTTTCATAATTTTAATCTTAATTAATTGATAATAATTAAATGATTTCTCATAGTTTTATAGAAAAGGAATTGAATAATTATTAAATATAAGTTAAATAAATAAATGGAAGATCTGTCTAATAGTTTTTCATAATAATTTAACATAATCTGCCTTTTAAAACATAATTAAAAGCTGAATTTGTTATAAATGACATTTTATAGGCTGAAAAATATTTAACAATAGATTAAGAAAGTATTGAATTTGAATTCGACTTTTATATTAATGATATGGATCATGAAAAACTTATAACTATGAAATTGATGGTTTTAGTTGCAATTTTATTATTCTTTGCTTTAGTTATAATTTTTATATCTTGTTATTGCAGAAAATAAAAATATTAAAAAATTTAAGAAGAGGACACTAATAAAGTGGAAATTTAAATCTGAAATAAAATTTAATCTTACATTTTTAAATATTATTTTCGATAAATCTATATATTGAATTAATTATTAATTTATTTTAATTTTAATTTTAATAAAGTAATTAAAATTAATATATTAAAAGTTTAATTTTATATATAAAAAAAATTCATTTAAAATATTTAATAATATGTAATATTTTACAGTTTTATATTTAAAAAAACATATTCTTAACGTTTTACTTTAGCTTAAATTTAAAGACTCTTCAAATTTATTATATATTGTATATTTATTTATTTTATATAAATAAAAATTAAATTTATTTTTAATATAATTATATTTTTTTTCATTTTAAATAAAAAGAAATTAGTATTTTATTATATATTTGTATAAATATATTTTTAAAAATATTATTATTAGTGCCATTTAATATTTTGTTTTAATTTGTATAAATAAAAAACAATGATTTATATAAGATATTCTATATATATATATATTTCCGACATTAAAAAATAAAGAAATAAATTTTCCAGTAGTAACAAAAACATGAATTAAGAGTATTATAATTTATATCTATAAATAAATATACTTATTAAAACAATTATTTATTTATTCATATGTGAATTTTTTATCTTTAATTTCTATTTACTTTTATTAATAATAAATTAAATTAAATAAAAGAAGAATTATTTATATATATAAAATAATAATTTAATTTTTATAATATTAAATAATTTATATATTTAAAAATAAAATATAATTATTTTTATTTTTTATAAAATAAAAATATTATATTTATTAATAAATCAAAAAATCAAATAAAAATGCATATATATATATAGAAAATGAATATTAAAAAATAAATAAATGAAAATTAAGTTATTAAAGATGGCATTTTCATGCAAAAACTATAGGTAAGAGAGATAGATCTTATTAAGGCAATTTAGGACATACATGGGTAAATTATAATTATTACAATTTTTAAAAGCTTATCCCTACATAAAATTATTATTAATAGCAGATAATAGGAGATATCCAAACTGAAATTTAAAATAAAACAATATAAATACAAAAAACATCTACTACAAGATAGGGATTTATTGTTAAAACAATATGTTATTTTTATAAATATTTAGATACAATCATTTCTTTTCTTAAACAATATAATAAATAAATCAGGTAGGCTATTAAATTATTTAATCTATCTATTAACATATGAAACATATAAAAATATTAGATTGTTATTATGTGTTAAGTTTTTCTTTGATTTTCGTATGTTAAAATTTCATAAGTTTTTCATTATTATTTCTTTTTATTATTTTCACATATTTTCTTATCCTTTTAAAAATTCATTTTAATATAAATTAATATTAATATAAATTAATTTTAATAAATTTATTTACATAATAATATTTTAATTTTTTTTGTGTTTTATTTAAAATTTTAATAATTGATATTTTTGTAAAATCCACTAATCACTAAAATATGTTTATTAATAAGTTATTCAAACACATTTAATTAAATGCAAAAAGTAGTTTTTAACTTTATTATGTTAGATATTTTGACTACTTCTTTTTAATATTTCTGAAATAAACCCTGTAAATATAAATTTACAAATTCATCATTTAATTAGCATGTATCCAGTTTTACTTTCACTTGTTATAAATTCAATAATAGTTAAATTTTTAGAAGTTTCATGTATCATTATAATTTATTAACCTTTTCAGAATCCAAGTATAATAATTATTTATGTAAATACACATTTATCAATATAAATAGCTTTTTAATAATTTTATTAACATTTATCAATGTAAATAGCTTTTTAATAATTAATTAATTATTTCCTTAATTAAAATAAAAAAAAATATAAATAGAACCAATTATTTTTAGTTTAATATATAAATTTTTTTGAAGTTAATTTACATATTTTATTTATATCAAATTATTTTAATTTTTAAAATTTTTATTTTCTTAAGAAACTTCTTTATCCAGATATATTTTGTTAAGTTATCTATATATTTATTATTACCAATTAATTATTTTGTTTCTTTAGAAAATTTTAAATTATAATTTTGTATCTTTAGTATTTATTTATTTATAAGTAATATCATAAAATTAATTAATCGTAATTAAATATTTTTAATGCAGAATCTTTCTTTATTTTTTGGAATTTAAATAGAAAACATTATAAATATATTTAAATCACTATAATAATGATATAATATAGTTAAGTTGAGGTTTTATTAAATATATTATTATGAATTTGCATTAATTAATTTTTAAATGAGTTTTATTTTATATTTGCAGATTTTAGATATTTTTAATTTTATCTTTTGCTTTTTTTGTGATTTTAATTTTAAATTTATTCCCCAATAATATCTTTTATAAAAATAAAAAATATATTATTTAATATATATTATTTTTCATGGTTTAAAATTATTTATTTTTAAAAAATTTTACGTATTAATTTTTTTTAATAATATGATTAATAATTAATATATAATTTAGATTTTTAATTATTATTAAATAATATTTATATCGATTATTTATGAATTGAAAATAAAAATCGATATGATTAATTATCTAATAATAGATTATTAATAATTTGGAATATGGCAAAATAATTATTTTTTAATCTAATAATTAATATATTATTTACCAAATATAAAAATCCTTTATATATTTAATAAATAATCAGTAAATATATTAATGTCTTAAAACATATTATTAAATACCTAAGGTAGCAAATATAATTAAAAAAAAAATATAACTGGTGGAAATTATGGATTAACAAGATTGCTTAATAAATAATATATTATGAATATTATTGATTAATTAAATAATAATAATCAATATTTTTCCATATTAAAACGAGTTTAATTGATTTAGTTAATT